GGGGACGCTCCACGTACCTGTCCTGCCGATGCCGGCGCTGCAGTGCACCACGACCGGGGGGCCCCCGGGGTGGCCCTTGAAGCGGGGGCCCAGCGCGCTGGCGGCCACGCGCTGCTGCTGCTTCACGGCACCCAGGAAGTCGATGAGGGTGGCGGCGGACGAGGGGACGCCGTAATCCGGCCAGCTCAGGTACTGGAAGTGCGACACGAGGCGCCGCTCCCGGCTCTGCGGCGGCCACAGCGTTAGCTCCTTCCCCCCATTGCCCCGAGCCCCCTTGATCTCACGAGAGCGCTGGGTGCCCCCCTGGCACCCTCACGGCGCGACAGCTCCCACCTCCGAACTGTGGAGCTCCAGGACGGTCTTCTTGTAATGGTTCAGGTTCTCCACGCCCAGGTTGGTGATGGTGAGCGCCCCGTAGCGCACCTGGAAATCCTTCTCCAGAGGCCAGTACTGGCCACACTTCCTCCGGCCGCCCTCCTCCAGCCTGTGAGCAAGGGGAGGGTGAGCGGGAGTGCCGGGAAGACCTGGGACCGCTGCCCAGGGAGATGCAGGGCTTCGGAGCACCACGGAGCGCGCGGAGCTCCTGGGAGCCTCGCGCGCGCTCCTGGGACACTCACCGCGTTGTCATGACGATCACCAGGACATTTTGCTCCCACACCATGCGCCAGAAGTCCCCGTAGGTGTTTTCCAGCGGCCCTGCGGGGGGAGCGCGGCCGTGAGGACGGGGAGGCCCCCGCGGTGCCCCGAAGGTTGCTGCGCTGCGTCCAAGCGCGCCTGTACCTTGCGTGCCGATGTAGGCATTCCTCTGCTTGTAGCCGTCCATGAAGCTTGCGTTGATGTAGTCCGTCAGCTGCAGGGGAAGACACACTCGCATGAGTCCTCCATGGCATTGGCACGGGCACCGCGGCACCGACCCGCAGGGCCCGCTCACCTCCGGGCGGCTGTAGGGCTTGGCCAGCTTCACACGCGTCTGGTCCAGGCAGGGCACATCCCCGTAGCGGTTCTTCTCCTGGTTGTGGGGCGCCCGGGCAGAGCAGGAGAAGCTCAGCACAGTGGCAGGGAGCTTTTCCAGGCGCCCGCAGGCCGCGCTTTGCTGCCATCACGTGGCCGCAGGCTCGGGAAGCGGAGCTGCCGTGCCCGTATCCCGAAGGCGGCCCCGGCCGCACGTCCCCCTATCCCGCTCCTTCCCCGCAGCGCTTACAGCGAGCACACGAAGGTCCCGGCCGGACTCCTGCGCCGGATGTCTTCATACTCCTCGTAGATGCCGCGCTTCTGCTTGTGGGTGACGTGGTCCAGCAGCTCCTGGACGGTGATGGATTTGGGCCCCGGGACATGGACAGAGCCGTTGTCTTTCGGGGGTGCCAACGGTACCAAGATGAGCTCATCGAGGGGGTCGGGGTGGCCGTTCTGCTGGGGCAGGAAGCGGCAGTTCCAGCTCAGAGGGACCAGCTTGAGGGAGCCACCGAGGTATTCGGGGAGACACTCCCGGGGCAGGTGCTCCTTCAGCTCAGACATCTTCACCATCTGCACCTGCAGAGGGGAGCAGAGGGGACGGGCTGAGCGGCGAGCCCAGGGAAACACAAGGAAGGACAAGGCACCGGGATGCGAACGGTCCGCCTAGGAAGCGGAGTGGTCCAGGACTCACCCGTTCCCGCAGCTTCTCCTTGAGCAGGAGGCTGATGATGGAGTAGGGCACGCGGAACCACATGGGCGCTCCCACGATGAAGACCTTCTTGAGCCGAGCCGGGAAGGCGCCCTGCGGGAGGCAACGGGAACGGGGTGGGATGCACTCAGCTCACGCTATGGGCTGGCCACTCTCTGGCTGCCCGCATGCTGCTGAAACACATCCCAGCCCAGCAAAGTGCCCGCTGTCCAGAGCTCCCAGAGCCAGGGATCCAGCTGCTGCAGACAGCTTGGTGCTTGACACCGCATGCCACAGCTGGAGGTGCCACATCCAAAGCATCTCCATGTCTCAAACATGCCACTATTTCTCTTCTGGAGAAGTGAGGAGGCAAGAAATGCCAGGGCAATTAAGTAATAATTTGCATCCGTTTTCAGAGCACGCTGCCAGCTGCCAGGGGAGTTGGCAGTGGGACGAGCTCCGCACCCGGCCTCGCGCGCCCAGCGGGATCCCCCCAGCCCACACCTTGAGCAAGTTGAGGATCTTCTTGCTGAGGTCCAGCTCGAAGTTGGTGTACTGCGAGCCCGCCATGTCGTAGATGAACACGAGCCCGTTCCGCTGCGTCTCGAAACTGCCCATCGGGGAAGAGAGAGGAGGAGACGTTAGAGCCCCTTCCCTCGGCTCGCTTATCCGCCCGGGAATCTCCTCCCACGCTTCCAGGAGGACACATGCACCCCGTGTGTGTCTTCACTTTCTCCAGCTGCTCTTCCCAGCCTGGCTCCCGGCTGCTACGCGTGCGAGTGCGGGGCAGCCCGGCACCGGGAACGGGCTGTCGGTGCTCCATGTTTTCGGCAGGGCTCGTGTCATGTCTCGGCTGAGCCTGCGTGCGGCTGCGGCTTTTCCCGGCGAAAGAAGCGAGGGGAGGAGTGAGGCCCCCCCTCTTTCTCCCCGTGAAGCCTTTCAAAGGGAATCAGCGCAGACCTCGACAAGCGGCGAGCTCGGCACAAAGGCCGGCGCTCCTGGCACCAGCCCGCCCCGCGCCAGCTCCTCAAAGGCAGCGGAAATCTCCCACGGTCAGGAATGCGGCTGCTTCGCGCCGCGCGGAGCCCAGCGCGCGCCGCCACGACCAGAGAGCACCTCGGAGCTGGGAACAGAGGGAGCCAGCACCACTGGGCTCCCCAACGCCACCGAACGACACCCAGCTCCAACGCGGCACGAGCTTCCTCCTGGCCTATCCATCCCTCTCCAGCATGGACTCCTTCCCAGCAAGCCCCGTGCACTCCCGGCTGCACACTCACCTCTCCACGGCGCGGTCCAGCAGGTAAAAGAGTGCCTGGAGCACCACGTGCTGCACGCTCTTGCTGGGGTGGTGCAGCTTGGCCGTGAAGAGAGCGATGGAGGCTCCCGAGGGGTCCCGCACGCTCTGCGAGAAGCGGAGAGGTGAGCCGGGCACGGTGACAGCAGCACAGCATCCTGCGGCTCGAGGCCGCGCTCCACTGCCTACCAGGATGGTGAACTTCCCGCTGAGCAGCTCCGAGCGCAGCGGCTCCTCGTGCGGCTTCAGCTTCACAATGCCTTCCCTCAGGCGTGTCTCCTACGGGAACAGGAGCGCCCGTTTGCAGGGGGACGGGAGCGAGCCGAGCACCCGCCAACGGGCATTGCCAGCCTCGGCTGCTCCCAAGCCCTCTTTTCCAGCAGGGAATTGGGAATATCCATCCCTGCAGAGCTGAGCGTCGCCATACCCGGTAGCAGTGGAAGAGCTCGATCGCCCGCAGCACGTCAAACTTGCGGGCCATCAGGAATTTGACGGCCACGTTCCAGGAGAGCGGGGACACATTGTACTGGCCCGTCCACTTGTTGATCTCTTCTAGGAACTGCTTGGTCGCCTGTTTGGGAGAGAGAGAGACACAACACGCGCCACGAGATAAGGAGCCAGGCCGGGCCTCGCGCGGGAGGCACAGCGGGAGACAAGACAGAGAGTTTCCCTGAGGTTGGAAGTGTCAGTGGAGCAGGAGAAGCCATTGCTGGAAGCATTGGCAGAGGGATAAACCATCTTAGGGCTGCAAGGAGACTTCCAGGTCCTGGGACGCCGCTGCATCCCAGCACTGTAGCAACCCCTGCACCACTCCAGGGGATCAGGAGTATTGGAGCCACCAACATGGATATCCCTGCATCTACACAAGGTGATCAGGGCTGCTCCAACTGCACAGGCCTGTGAGGGAACTGGAATAAGTGTGGAAAACCCCAAGGAGATTATAGCACAGGCATAAGCGCAACACCCGGAGTAAGAAGGGACGGCCACGGATGCAATTCCCAGGAAAGGACTAAACCTCCTTGCTGCTTTGACGGGTGCGTGTGCGCTTGCTCCGGCCTCATTGCAGCCCTCGGAAGCACGGAGGTGGCGCCAGACCTTCCCCACGCTCCCGCAAATCCCTCTGCGGGAGCCACCCTGTCCCCGGAACAGCTGCTGACGGAGCGCGACAGCCCCTTCTCCCTCTGGCATGTCCTTCCCCGGCCCTTCTTTGGGAAGGGCTCCCAGTAGGTCCGAGGGTCCCCTTGCCCTGAGCCATGGCGGGGCAAACCCAGCAAATCTGGCATGTCCTGGGGGAGCAACGGATGCGCAGGCAGACAGTGACCTCAGGCGCCGGTTTCCTTCGGAAACGGCGCTAAAAAAAGCCCGTGTCCGATGGCAGAAGGGGAGAAGAGGAGTCAGCCCCAGGCCGATGACAAGAGGCACACGCACAAACGAGCCCAGCGAAGGCCCTTACCTACCGCCCCGTGGGAAGAAAGGAAATTCCGCTGTTTCGGCCTCAAAACTGGAGCCAGCCCCCACCTTGCTGCAGCGCCCCAGCCCCCGCTCCCCTTTGGGAACTATTAGCAGAAATATCCTGGCGTTTCCGGCGGCTGGCACAAGGCATGGAGACACCGGCAGAGGGGCTGGGCTTGCCCGTCCCCACGCGCATTCCCTGCCATGAAGCAGCTCCCCCAGGAGCTGACGTCCGCAAGGGGCTTAGGGCTCCGGGCGGATGCTCGGCCACGGTGCAGCGCGGAGAAGAGGCTGGAATCGGGTCTGTGCCGGGAGATGCCAGGCTGGGACCTTCCCATAGGAAAGGGAAGGCCATCCTGCGGCCAGCCGGCAATGAGGGAGAGCCCGAACGCCGGGAACGGCGCCGGGGCCGCTGCTGCTGCTCGGGCTGCAGGCTCCGTGGCTGCCCGCAGGGCGGGGGCCGCTGCTTCCTCGCGTCGCTCCTCCTCTCGCGCTGAACCGAGCGGGCTCGGAGGAGCCAGAAACGGGCAGGAAAAGCCCCCCGCAACAACGCAGCGCCGCTCTCGGATGCCCCGGGCGGCGCTCGGGTCCCTGCGGGCGCT